CTCGCGTCTCTTCCCGACGGTAGGGATTGGATCCCCAATTCTGCCCTGACGGATGCATTTCTTGTGCGCTTGGAGCATCCAAGAACGATTTTCGCTGCTTTCATCTGCGCCGCCTCGAGTTCTCTCACTACCTTCTTATTTCCTTCCCATATTTCTCCGGCGTACTCTAGCGGCGGTACGATTACCCTCTTCAAAATCGTCAATTTGATGCATGTATCGAGGTGCCGGTTTGCGAGTATTGGATGCAGCTTCCCTGCTTGTGCTTTGCCCTTTTCCGCTACCTTGGACATGTGTGCATTCCACGAGCAGTCTTTTGCGATCTCTACTCCGAGGTATGTGTACTGGTCCACTACTGCAATCTCCTCGATCCCCCACTTCCATCTATGTTCTACTGGTTCCTCCTTGTTCTCGTTGCAAACCATGACGGCACTCTTCTGAACGTTGGCGGACAATCTCCACTTCTCAGTAAACTTCTTCGCCGCGTCAGTTTACAGTTGCAGTCCCTCAGGGGTGTCCGACATACCGACAAAATCATCCGCAAACAGCATTCCTGAAACCGACGTTTCCGTGTCCCCTACTTTTACTCCCTTCCGGACTGCCTCTACGACTTCCAACTGCACTACTTCGTCCCAAATGCACTTTTTCTTCTTTCTCACTAGTCACCTGTTTTCTCTTGGCCCTGTACTTTTCCCAACTCTCCTCAGATGCCTCACTCAGGTACTGCTTGAAGACATCTCTACGTTCCCCTATTTCTTCTTTCAGCTCGTCATCCCACCACTTAACCGATACCCCACATCGTACCACCTTCCTTCCCACTATTCTCTCTGCCGTTGCGTTCACGATGGACTCCCACCCTTCAATCACCCTGTCCCCTGCTGTCTGTACGTCTACCTGTCCGTCTTCGACGCTTCTCAGCAGTTTCCTGAAGGATTCTACACTACCAGCCAGCCCCTTCTGGAATTCATCCCGTGTCCCATCGTCTCCCAAACGCTCTACCTTCCATCGGAACACTTTCCTCTGTTTCTTACTCTTGATCTTTCTGGATCGGTCGATGTTTGCCCATATGAGGAAGTGGTCGGTCGGACCTGTATCTATCGCACTTACGTGCAGCTCTGGGATCTGCGTGTTCCCCTTATCTACCAGGATGTAGTCGAGGATCGAGTATTCATGGCAAACTGCCCGATGCCTGGTGAACTCCGGCTTATCGCATTCCCTCCTACCGTTCAACACCATCAGTTCGTTGCTTCCCAAGAATTCAAGCATCCTCAATCCGTTGTCATTCGAGTTGTCTTCTACGTGCTGCCCGATCGCCTGTCCTCTACTGGAAGCTTTCCCTACTCTGGAGTTGAAATCGCCCACCATGACAACTTCTCCCTTCCTACTGAACCTCTGGACATCTTCCCCAATTTGTCCAAAGTTCTCCTGCGCCTTGCTTGCGACTTTCTTCGACGACGGTGGGACGTATACGTTCCCTAGAAACAAGTCTTTCTCACCCCGCTCCCCAGGTATCTTAAGCCATAGGCTCTCCTCGAACTCCGTTTTAACCACTCATTCCACCACGTCAAACAAGGGTTCCTTGACCAGGAATCCGACTCCCCCCTCCCCCCTTTTCTTCGGGTCTAAGCCCTTTCTTGCCTTCCCTACCCACCGGTATTTCCCTAGTTTGCTTACCACGTCCCCATCCTTCAATTCCCA